CTAAAAACTTATTGGTTAGACAAAGTATAAAGTTGATTCAGCTTTTTTCAGCTTCACCTTTGTTACCCCAACTATTAATTCTAGTTTTAAGGAACTCCAATATAAGTGTCAACAACATAATTTTTTAAGCTTTTTGAACACAACATTTTAAGGCAGCCCGGTTACAAATTATTTGTTGAATCAGCTTGTTTGTTTTTACAGTGTAGATAGAGTGTCAGAGTGAGGGTTAAATTCTGCGTGGAGGATGTGTTCATGAAACCGAAACTAAGCTCACAGGGAGGGACTTCTTCCTGTTCTCATTCACCTCATCTGAAGTTTGTTCCTCTGTTTGTTCCACTGTCATCGACAAACATGGAGCAGTATCTGGCCATTCTTACCCTCACTGTTTTTCTCTCAGCTGATGCTCAACGTAAGTTCACACTTTGCATATTCAAATATTTACACTGATTTTTAATAGGAAAAGCCTGTACAAGGATGTATGATTTCATGACGTACACTAGTGTATATCGCTTACTTGAGGAATTAGTGTATAAAAGTTTGGCATCAGTAAGATTTTTAATGTTTTTATAAAGAAGTTTCTTATGCTTATAAAGGCTGCATTTATTTGATAAAAAAAATCGATTGTAATATATTTTAAAATGCAATTTATTGCTGTGATCAAAGCTGTATTTTCAGCATCATTACTCGTCTTCAGTGCCACATGATCCTTCAGAAATCATTCTAATATGCTGATTTATTATCAATGTTAGAAACAATATGTTTTCATGGAACCAGTGATACTTTTTTCAGGATTTTTGATGGATTAAAAAGTTAAAAAGCATTTACTCAAAATAGAAAAGACTTACATTGTTAGAAAAGATTTCTATCACTTTTTATTAATCCAACACATTCTTGCTGAATAAAAAAATATTAATAAAAAAGAAAAGAATAAAACAAAAAAACATACTGACCCCAAACTTTTGAATGGTAGTGTAAAAAAATACCACTGGTTCCACAAAAATATTTAAAAAATATGCAAAAATATTAAGCAGTACAACTGTATATATACTTCATATTACACTGTTACACATATTACACATATTGTACTGACAACATTGTTGACTGTCCACACTGTTGTAGATTTACTTTGATCACAATATTAAGTTTGTTCAGTCAAACAGCTGATGAATAGTTAACTACCAATGGTTGATTTTAAAGGGGTCATATGATGCTGCTAAAAATAACATTATTTGTGTATTTGGTGTAATGAAATGTGTTTATGCGGTTTAAAGTTTAAAAAACACATTATTTTCCACATACTGTACATTATTGTTTCTCCGCTATTCCCTGAAATAGATCTAAAGATTGATGAAAAGCGTCGATTTTTACAAAGCTCATCGGTCTGAAAAGCGAGGTGTGGAAAAGTTGAAATCGCATCATATGACCCCTTTAAGTGTTCATTTAACATAGTGGCTTTTAATAACAGCTGTATAGAACACTTCACATTTAAAAACTACTGGTGCTTTAAATAATTGACAAAAAAGGTTTTGTGTTAGTTCCCAAAACACATTAGTTATATCTGATATGCAGTTTATTTCTCTGGGACTCTGGGTATTTCTAATTTGTCTTTTGATGTTTCTTTTATTTCAGCAGAACACAATGATTTCTCAATTACTGGATGTTCTGAAACAGAGAAAGAGTCTATGACTGGATCTGACGGAGAAGAGGCGTGGCATGCTGACTTTAATCAGAAGACAGGAGTAGTTACATTGCCTGATTTTGCAGATCCTATGAGCTTTCCAGGATTTTATGAAGTGAGCCTGGCAGACCAAGAAGTATGCAAACAAAACCTGGCTGTACTCATTAAAGCTTACAAGAGCCCACCAGAGGAAATGGGTACGGCATGAATTAGCACTGTTAAGCTTTTTTAAAGTTTTACAGTAATACATTTCTTAGCATTTACATCAATCTGTTTGGTAACTGCTACATGTTATGCATTCAGTGTTATCAATATTTTGGTTAAGTACGAGTTTTGGCTTGCAATTGTATTTAATATGTATGATATTAGTTTTCCTATGTACAGATTTTATTTGAATGAGGTCAGATGTACTACTGACTGCAGAGTTCAACACAGTTATGTGTGTTCACAGAACCCCCTGAGACGTCCATCTATCCAAGGAACGATGTGCAGCTGACTGTTGACAACACACTCATCTGTCACGTGACGGGCTTCTTTCCTCCACCTGTCAATGTCTCATGGACTAAGAACAATGTCGTTGTGACAGAAGGCGTGAGTCTGAGTCAGTACCAACCGAGGAGCGATTGTACCTTCCACGTGTTCTCCTCTCTGAAGATCACTCCTGAAGAGAGAGACATTTACAGCTGCACAGTGAACCACCGAGCCCTCCAGGGCCAACCGCAGACCAAAATATGGAGTAAGAGCCGTTTACCAATTAAATCAAAATACAATCAATTTTGTTATCACCAGTTGTTTTTTGCATGAACGATGTATGTATAAAAACAACAGTAATCATTCTGTGACAAATGAAATACCAAGAGCTGAGTGGATTTCTACAATGAAAAGCTGTTCTACCATTCACACACCTTACTCTAATCCCCAGGCGTCCCGGAGGCGGCTGCTGTCCTGCCCAGCGTGGGTCCGGCGCTCTTCTGTGGAGTGGGATTGACTCTGGGGCTGCTGGGAGTCGCTACTGGACTCTTCTTCCTTATTAAAGCAACTACAACTGACACACCAGATATGGCCAAAAACATAAAACATTTAATGCAGTGGACCCAATCAATAAAGACAGTTCCTCCAGGATTCTGAAGACAGAGAAACAGTGCATCTGTGTGTCGTTTTAGATGATGGACAGCATTGCTGCTGTTGAAGATTGATAAATGCAAAGATCTGATTTAACCTTTGTTGAAATTGGATTTGCTTGCTATGTAGCACTAATCATGCTTATATCTAGAAGACTTTTTGTTTATATATTACATTTGCAGTTCATCATAAGTAATCTAAAGAAATCACAATCTTTATATTGAGTTACTTAATAATTAAAATAAGACACTTTTGCTACTTTCATGCAAAATGTATTTGATTTTGTTATGAACTGAAATGTTTATTTTTTTGTACTTAAAATTATGCCAATAAAAATTAAACATGTTTGAGAAATGTTTACAATTATATAGCATTTTTGTATGTTTTGTGACATACATTCCAAATAAAGATTTAAATGTCTGTCAGTGTATTGCTTTGGATATTCAACTTTCCCTGGAAAAAGCTGTTATAAATAAAGTGTGGAGAGACAGAGGAACTGAGGAGAAATGGACACACAGAAGGATCTTTTACAGTGATATAAAGCCAGTCCACCTGTAGACACGCCCCTGAATTTTAGACATGTTACATTGCCAGATGGGTAACACTTTATAATAACTTTCATTGTTATTGTGTAACAGATCATTAGTCAATATATATTCAAAGAGCTACATGTGTGAGGCAATGTGCTTGTAAATGTTTACTAATGAACTTATTGAACATTACATGATAATTAACAGAACATTGGTTGATGTAAATTAAAGTGCTTACAAATGTTGAACATTCTAATCATACAACTATTATCACGCACTTTATAAAAATCTACAAATGATTTTAATAGATGTTATACACTGATTAGCAGCTTATTTATTCATGTGCATTTGAATGCTTCGAAATTATCCAATTGATTTATATAACATCTAATGCACTTTTTTACATTTACACATTTTCTAAAATCATTATTTTAGAAATCATATTAAACAACCAGTTTAATGACATTTGTAAGCATTCAAATGCATATTAACCCTTTCACATGTGAGTTTCAAATATTCTAGCAGTTCTTAAGGAGACCATTATTTTAGAATGTATCATCTTATTTCCATGGCGACGCGTCATGCTTGTCACGTGACACACCGCAGCCACAGCAGCTCTGTACAGGTCAGGGGTCTCCAAACTCGGTCCTGGAGGGCCGCAGTCCTGTAGAGTTTAGCTCCAGCTCACCTCAACACACCTGCCTGTAGTGTTTTGTATGCACAGTAAGAGCTTGATTAGCTGCTTCAGGTGTGTTTGATTAGAGTTGGAGCTGAATTAATATCATCTGATATTCAGATTCTCAAATACATGCAAGTGAATGTATTTTGTCATTTAAACACCTTTATAATGATCTTGTTAGCTGCATTCCAGTTCGTTTCCATCTGCCCTTCCCTCACTAACTTCCCTCCGTCTCCTGGACTCAGACGTACGTCACTGATTTTGTTGCACAAGTGTCCACTACTGGCTGATCAGTTGATCACCTTGATCAGTTGGAATCTGATAAGGAGTTGAATTATTATTACCATTTTTCCCTTATGAATTAGTTTGATGCAGCATCATGTACACAGATATTGTTTGGGCTGTTTTAAATATATAAAAGATAATTCATATATCACAGAGTTGTTTGAGGTGGGGGTCTGTCCATATAAACTTCCCACATTCACTTCACGAAGTGGAACACACTTCAAAAAGGCAGCGGGGATTCACCTGAGAGTACGCGCTTAGGGAAGATCACGAGTGCGTGTCTAAAAGGGAAGTGGAACGCAGCCCGGGTTGTTATAGGAACTAGTTACCAGTGTGGTTCCCAGACAACTAAATGTTCCCCTAAGACCATTCCTGGTCGCATTTTAATGATTTAATAATGATAGTTATTATAGAGTGTTATCATGGATTTAAAAAATAAAGAAAAGTGTTTGTGTCCTCCAAAACTGGAGAGGATGTTGGAAGCTTGCAGTTTTTTTTTTCAGGAATGTAAGTAAAAAGGTCATTATGTTTAATCAAACCATTATTTACATTTTTTGAAGCGTGATTTTAAAATGAAAGCAGGATATTGCTCAGCAACACGTGACACATATGCAAACAGTGTCTGATTGGACAGTTGTTTTAGAGCTCCATCTCTTCATCATGAACAGAGTATTGTCTGCTCTCAGTTGTGACGGTCACAGTGATCATGTCAGTGCCAAAGCTCTGGAGTCTCCATCACATTCTCCTGCTGTCTGTATTCACCGGCGCAGGTGAGAGAAATGGGCGTAATAGTAGTAGTAGGTGAGAGAAATTTAGTAATAGTAGTAGTAGGTGAGAGAAATTTAGTAATAGTACTAGTAGTAGTGGTGTGGATATATTGGTGTTTTTGGTATTAACAGTGTTGGTAAGATTTAACAGCAATCTTTTCTTAAATGCTGTTAGTTAGGATGGTTCTCTGCTAGTGGATCCTCCCATGTAGTAAAGTATAGGTACAGATATTTTAATAATATGAACATGATGTTTTAGAAAGGACATTCTATTAATAACAACAACTGGCTGATGTGTTCAAGTGCTTGTGTTTTTTTTTATTGTTTTCCAGCTAATGGATATTATAACTACTATTGGTCACAGTGCATCTACAGCTCCAGTGATTTCAGTGACATGGTGTTCTTGATTGACTATTACTTCAATAAATATCTGTACGTACAGTTCAACAGCAATGTGGGGGAGTTTGTGGGGTTTACTGAGGTTGGAGTGAGAACTGCAGAGAACTTGAACAAAGATACAGCATTGTTACAGCAATTAAAGGCTGAAGTTGAGAGAGTCTGCAAACATAATGCTGTACTGTACAAAACAGCTATCCATGATAAAGCAGGTATGTGACTCAAGACTCACACAGAGCTCGTTTTAAAAAATTTTCTTCTTTATAAAGGAAAATATTTAGCTAAAATAAAACATTTTAAAATTGTGTATTGCATATAATGGAAATATATATATTGTAAGATGTAATTGTTGCTCCTCCTGGTTCAGTGGCACCACAGGTGAAGCTGAGTTTAGTGAAGCAGGGAGACAGCAGACATCCATCGCTGCTGATGTGCAGTGCGTATGACTTCAATGTGTCCTGGCTGAGGGACGGTGTAGTGGTGACTTCTGACGTGACCTTCACTGAGAAGATGCCTAACGGAGACTGGTACCACCAGATTCACAATGAGCTGGAGTACACTCCCAAAGCTGGAGAGAAGATCTCCTGTATGGTGGAGCACGCCGGCTTCACCAAACCCATGATCTATGACTGGAGTAAGAAACAAAATGCACAAAATGCATATCTGAGAGTAAATACTGTGATGATAGAGTGATGTGTGACCCTCCTCTGCTTGAGTTTGAGGGGAATACACTGCTGTTATTCACTGCTGGAGCTGCTGGATCATCATAGCAGCTGCTGGATTCATTTACTACAAGTCAAAAACAACAGGTCTGTGAGAAGAGAGCAAACCAGTGACATGTGTCTATTCCAGTTACGGAATAATGAAGTATAAATCTCATGGCATGTTATTATTCAATCCATTACTCTTTTTACAGAGAAGATCCTAGTGCTACATTAATGATGGTAAGATTTGCATTACATTTCGGTAACCTTACATTTTACTCAGCACTTCTGTGTGATCAAACATTATACTGAATTACTGGATAATCAACCCCAGTAACATGAGTAACAATCACACTGAATTGTAGGTCCTCATCCTGACTGAAATGGACCTCATCATGAAGAAACACACTCTTCATGACACAACTATCACATGCAGTCTGTTTGAAAAAGAAGCATCATGATGAAAATAGACTCATACCCTCATATCTGATGTGTTTCTGGCTAATATTGCAGCATCTTCAGGCAGTATTGACTAATGCTGTGAATGGTTGAAAGTTACACATTCGCTCTCTCTCCTCTTCCTCTCTGATCATGTTTTCTTATAATTGCTCTTTCCACTATATCAACACCCTCCACTCTAGCTCTCCCCTCTTCTCATCATCCTCCTCTCATTCTATACTGTCCTCCTCCCACTCCCTCCACTCTTCTCATTCTTCTTCTTTCTCCACTTTCCACTGAAGTTTGTTTGCTCTGGGAATTCACAGGTGACCCCCTTATATATATTTTTATAGCTGTGTAAACGGTTTAGTAAATTGCACTTTCAGTGCGGTGTGAGTTTCACCCAGGAAAATAGAAATAACCCCAAAATTTGTTATTAGGTCACACAGGTTCGCTTCTCTAATAAAAGGTAGGCAGGAAATGTAGGGTTCGTATAAAAATACAAAATTTATTCACACAGATAACATTTTAAAAAAGCATTCAAAATGCCTCGATGATACTGTGCCACCCCTGGCAGATCTCTCTCCAATGACACTTCACAAAAAGAAAGCACACAAACAAAAAGAAAACACAACCACAGATAAACACGTTACAGAAATTTTTTTTGTACACAATTCAAAATAAACAAAAACTACACCAACCTACAGGGCTGAGGTTACCCACAGGAGTGATCACCAGCACAAGTTATCCAAAAGCACACTTCCACACGCACCACCGTGCACTCAGATCACACACCCAAACGCTTCAAAAGTGTCCGACAGCAGACCTTGGAGCAACACCACCACCACAAAAGATCCTTCACCCGTGGGACCCCAGCTCCTGAAAGAAAATCAAAAACAAATAAATAAGTCTTATAAACACAAATTAAATCACAGATAGATGGAGTCACAATTTCATAATAAAGCAAACAATGATGGGTAAAATCACAAATAAATCACAATCAACAATATACAAATATTCAAAAGAAAAATAAAAACAAACAAAAAAAACGTAGCTCAAACTATGAGGTAGACAGGACTCGCACGGAGCAACCGAGTAGTCTGTACACCGGTTCCAAGAAACCAGACAACAGCAGCAATCCTCTTTTTTTGTTAGTTGCGAGGTAACACCATTCTTGCAGCGCAGCAGAAAAGAAACGACAGAGCTATAACAGTAATTGCCCAGGATGAAAAAAGGAGAATCCAAATGGAGATAATTGTGCTCTATAATCAGTTCACAGGCCAGGATACGCAGCCTTCATATAACCCACTGCTAAACTGAAAGGTGGGCAGTCATCTACAAGCAGGCCAGGGTATATTCTGGCAAACTGTTCACCAGTCAAACTGTGGCACACGCCACCTACCAACACGCGATGGGTAACTCGCAAAGCACAATGTTCCTTCATCCCATAGAAAGAAATTTAAAGTACGAAGTTTGAGAATTAAGAGGCGGGGCAACAGTTAAAAAATTTCAAAGTTAAAGTTCATGCAAAAAAATATTAATAAACAAGTTTCAGTCAAATATTTATGGTTTATAGCAAAATCCAGTGTTAAAGTAGAGTGCAAACAATCATATTTGGAACATTAGAATATATTAGAAAATATTATTTTTGATATTTTTGTTTGGATCTGTTGGATTAGAATGACTTTATGAACGTCTTGAAAATCCTTGATTTGGTCCTGATGTGTTGATCTAATGTTGAAAAATAAATGAACAACACACAAAGTTGCAAGGTGCAATTTTATAACAAACACACTTGGTAAAGGACAGCTTGTGTTCTACCAAGGTTGTTTTTAAATATGTAGGCAACATACAAACATACAAAAATCTGCAGTATTACAAATTGTTGCCTATATGATAAGCTTATACAGTGGTTCCTGGTGCAGAATGTCTGCTCATTTCATTAGTAGGCTAACCTTTTATATTGTCCATGTAAAATGACAATCTATAAAAAGACATTTTAAAAGTTCTTTACATGGGCTAAATAAGCGAATATACATTTGCAAACATGCAAACATGACTATTGTAAATGTGTCGGTCAAATAATAAATTTATATAATTATTTAAGAAATAATACAGTCCAAGGGCTGGATGGACATAATAAACTTGTATTATTTCAGTCAAATGTTTTATCAAAGTATTGACATAAAACGACCTCTAAGTGGCGTACTGGCGCTATCGCACGTCAAACGGATGTGACATATATGGCACTGCAATCGCTTAAATTGGCGCGGTTTCTTCTCGCAATCCTAAAAGTAGTACAAGATGTCTTTGGGAACAACTTATACATTGAGAAGGGGCACTTTGTCTGCAGTACTTCGAGAGGATGACATTACAGTGGACAACTTGGCCAGGATGTTTAAGGTTTGTTCTCGTTAAACTGTTTTAATTATTGTTAGCCTATTAACGCCAGGGCAACGCCCCCCACTTTTGATTGTCCAGTCCTCATAGAAAGTAATTAAAAGTGTTTGAAGTGTTGAAGTGTAAAAAGTTTGAAGTGTATTATAAACAGTGAAATATATAAATGACTATTTTTATGAACAGCTTTAAAATATTTAATTGGCTAAATGCTGAGAATAATGTATAAGATGAGTTTAAAAATCAAAATCCAGTAATCATGTAGGACTGGAAAACTAACCAAATCTTTTGTTGGTAAAAAGTGTGAATTCAATTCATTATGCTTATTGTATTGTATTGTGATATTGTGCTGTTCCCTTGATTTTTCTGTAGGTAACACAATCAAGTGTTTACTTGACCAGGGAGTTTCAGTTTTTCCATCTACATCTGGATTCTTTAGTTGTTTGGATCTCATGACTGGTGGGGGTACCTTCCAGGTAATGGGTGATGAAATGTGCAGGGCATTACCAGGCCCAGTCACAAACCCATTTCACCCAAACCCTGGACAGAGTCGCCCTCTTTTAGTTTTTCAAGATCAGCCACTGCTACAGCTGCTCGCACACCCCATCCTGCAACTAGTCCAAAAATGTACCAAAGGTAAAACATTTTTGGCAGATAACAGTTGGTCAGCATAGTTAAATATAAGAAAAACTTATTTTTAAAAAATTAATATAAACATTTATTTTTAGGTTTTCATTCAACATTTTCAGAAAAATCCAATCAATAATTAAAATAAAACAATTGATGAAACCACAATGTGGCAGTTACTGACGTTCTTAATTTAATACTTTGTGCAACCTCTGTTTGACAAGATAACAGCTCTGAGTCTTCTATAAACTGTAATTGTACAGTAGATATGTATTAATACAAAACAACAGGAAACGGGAAACGAGCTACAAAACCAGAAACTAAAATAATGAACCTAAGATGGTAAAAACCAACAAAACCTGACAAAGGAAGCAGAGAACATAAAATATTAAATAAACTTATCTAGATAAATACACATTAATGGACTAATTAAGATCAGATACAGATGAGAACAATGAGGTGTTGAGAAACAGGAACCCAACTTTAAAATAAGTCCAACAAAACTGGTAGATATGACCCACAAACACACAATGTTGCTCATACATTACTGTTGCTGTTCTTGTAGCTTAATTCTTTATTAGCAAAGGTTATGGGTGTGATACCAAGGGGACACACGTACTGATAAAATGTGAAGCCTGAAAGCACTGGCTTTGGCTCAAAGCGTCTGCCAAATGCATAAATGTAATGAAAAATATTCCAATAGTGTGTTATATGTGTATGCAGAGAAAAACGTCTAAGGTTACTTATGTAACCATGGTTCCCTGAGTAGGGAACGAGACACTGCATCCTCTAGGGGTCGCTATGGGGAACGCCTCGTCGTGACCCGTGTCTGAAGCATACATTGAAAAAACACCAACTCGTTGGCCGGCGACAGCCATGACATCACTGTGTCATCTGGTGTCAAATAGTGATGACACGGATGCACACACCTTTTAAATTCTCTGCTAGTGCTCGCCATAATGAAAAGAGATAGCTCTTACTTTTTCCTTGGAAATGCACGCTTCAAACAGAACAGTCAATGAAGACGAAGAAGAGAATGATGTGTGCTCCCGGTGCCTATTTATACTATAGTCGCACCGGTAGTGACGTCATGGCTGTCGCCGGCCAACGAGTTGGTGTTTTTTCAATGTATGCTTCAGACACGGGTCACGACGAGGCGTTCCCCATAGCGACCCCTAAAGGACGCAGTTCGAAGTTCCCATGAAAGGGAAACACATTACAAGAATGTATGAGTCTGGTTTCTAGATTGCAGAAATTAACAGTTAGCTGAGATCGTTCATTTCTGTTGCAATTTCAAAGCAATGCAAATGGATGTGTTTAGAGTATTAAAAACATCTGTTAGACACAATGTGCTTGTGTGTGTGTTTCCACAGAACTATTTTCCTTGGACAACTTGAGGGTGACAAAATAGTACAGGACAAGGCATTGGTTATCCCTTTTGAAGAGTCTGAGGCCTGTTTGCCTACTATGACAACCAAAGTGAAAGAAGCCCTTGCTATGGCTGCTGATGAAAACATCATTTTAACCGATAGTCAAGGAAACCTACTCCTTGATACCCCTGGCACTAAAGGTTTGTGAAGAGAATTCTTTTGCAGTTCACTCAG